GGAAGGAACAGTGGTAATAACGCCAATGTCTTTCCACCCTTCCTTGTCTGAACTTACCTTCTTCCAAATGCAGCATGAAGAACCGGTGTCCTGCAGGCCTGCCCAGAGAATCAGCCACACGCTGGAGTGACCTGAGAAGGCTGTGGGGTGGGCTGGAGGGACACATCCCAAAGGTCTCCAGGTCTTCTGTGTTCCAGGCAGATCTGCTCAGTGCCTTCAGGAACCCACTGTCGTAGCGGCTAAGGAGACCCCCTACCTCCAGATGGTTAGGACCCCAAAAGCTGCCCCCGTCCAGCCTCACGTGACACACCGATTCCTCTGAGCTTTCGTGTAGCCAGGACTGAGAACTGGGCTGGGGCCATAAACTCAAGGGCTTCCCTTCTGTCTCAGCCAAGGGTAGGTGGGGTGGGAGATGTCCAAGGCTGTCTTCTGACTCCAGGGAAGCCACCAGGACTTTTGAAGGGGCTTCCTGGAAATCCAATGCAACCTTGACATCTTCTTCTTCTTCTTCTGGGGATTCCACTTCTCCTAAATTGGGAGTTTCCCTTTGTCTCGGAGGGTTATCTTCTAGAAGGTATCCCTTTGCAGGTGAGGAGAGGGACTCAGCTGTTAGCCAGAGACCCAGGAGGATGCTGGCCAGGCCAAGCTGCATGGCTGCTTGCTTCCCTGAAGAACTAAAGCCACCTCTCCAGGATTCCTCAGGGAAAATTCAGAAGGGAGTGAAAGCATCGGATAACACACACTTACACACACACAGGCAGACACAGAGAGAGATGGCCTGAATTTTTCTTCTTTAATGGCCTTGAATGATCTTGGAAGAATTCTTGCAACAAGCTGGCTGTTCTATTTGCAGGTTTTTTGATATCTTTTAAGTCTGAATGCTTTAGCAAATGCAAAACATCCAAGCCAGCTCAACCTTGATATAAACACTTTTTATCGTATTCCTCCCCCCCCCCAAGAGATCAAAGCAAAACCCACATTCACACACTATTTGTACCTCAGTCTTTACATTGTATCAGAGTCCGCTTATCATGTTTCCTCCCCCTTAATCATCTTATATAAAGGCTGTTTTTTTTAATCAGCAGAAAAGTATTTGTTCCTTTAAATATTTATCACCTAAATTAATACATTGAAGTAGGTTAAAGGATCAGAGAATCAGACACAATTGAACATGAGGGGGGAAAAAATCTTAAGGAGTGAAAGAATTTAGCTATTAAAACAATCTGGGAAGAAAATGTTTCAGGGACATTTTGTTTGTCTTTTAATGGCTGCCTGCAATGCTTCATGAGAAGGCTGAGCTTGTGATGGAACTCACTGTTACTAGATGTACTAAAGGCCTTTTCCCTCAAATGTTAGTTCAGTTAGCCCCAAGGTGTTTTTTAAGGTGGCAACTGGACTTTGTTTTTTTTTCTTTTGAAGACATTTCACTTCTCATCCAAGAAGCTTCTTCAGCTCTGACAAGAATGACACATAAACCTCCAAGTGCTTCAAGGACCTTCTGAAACAGAGGCCTCCAAACTTGGCAACTTTAAGACTTGTGGACTTCAATTCCCAGAATTCCTCAGCCAGCTTTGAAGTCCACAAGCTTCGCTGGCTGAGGAATTCTGGGAGTTGAAGTCCACAAGTCTTAAAATTACCAAGTTTGAGGACCCCTGCTCTAAAAGGATGCAAATGACCAGCTGTCTGCAAGGAGTATAAATCCTTCCATGCTCCATTATCCAGTCAGAGCTGAAGAAACATCTTGGATGAGAAGCGAAACGTCTTCAAGGAAAAAAAACAAAAACAAAATTCTAGTTATCTCTTGAAAAAGCACCTTTGGAACAACCATGACCAGGATGACTGAGAATCTCTACAGACTTTTAAATTAAGTTAGCAATACCTTTTATCCAGAGGCTAAACTTTTTTTTAAATTTGGTCTCTGGGGATCTCAAGACAATGGACAATCTATTCTACAGTCTTCACTGGAGGAACAGGATAAAAATTCTGTCCCTTTTTTATGCATTGGGATGGTGATGGTAATAAAATAAATGCATTTGGTTGAGAAGGGAACTAGATATGTGCCCTCAAATAGCCACATCACAGTTACAAAGATCTCCAGCCCTCCTGACCAAATGTCATGGTTGATTTTGTAGACCCTCCCAACCCAAAAATATTAAGGGCAGCCTTTGGCCACTCAAAGATTAGCTATGGATTTAATGGACGTAGGCTAGGTTCTGCATCTTATTTTAAATGAACGTGGGGAAAATGGCTTTTGCAACAAACATACACATTAGCCAACCACATTTTAACCTAGCATAATGGGGGGAATCCAGACTGTGCTGGGATAAAATCTTTTAAAAAATGGATCAAATTCTTTGATGAATTGTGGTGATTAACCCCAGGGGTGGGATACGACAGGGTTAACTACCAGTTCAGGATTTATGAGCTTCCCTGCACCCTGTGAGCCGTGCACCTGTAAATCGTCATCAGCAGAGACGCAGCCTTTGAAACAGCCCTCTTTTCCTGCTTTTTTAACTGTGGCTGTGCCTCGTTCGGCAGCTGAAGTTGAAAAATCAGGAAATAAAGACCAGGTAAGAACCCAGGTGGGTGGGTGGGCAAAAACAGCAGCAGACATTGAACCGGTTCTATGTCTGCTGCTCTTCAGAGCTACCGGTTCTACAGAGGTGGACAGAACCGGTAGAAACCCACCCCTGGTTAACCCTGAGTTTACAAACTGTAGGAAGAAGGCCTTAATCATGCCTTACTATTGGGAATCTCCCATGGAAGGAGGTAGGGCATTAATGAAATCCTTACCCTGGAACAGTGTTTCTCAACTTCAGCGACATGTGGACTTCAATTCCAAGAATTCCCCAGCCAGTCTTGCTGGCTGAGGATTTCTGTGAACTGAAGTCCACATCTTAAAAGTTGCTGAAACATTAAAGAATGTGAACAAATTGACAACACTTTTGGTCCAAACCAGCGCTAATTTACAAATTGTGGCTTTTGATCAATTGCAGTTATTTTGGTGTGTGAACATGCACCCGGTAGTAAGAGATTTATGTCACGGTCAAAGCCAGATCATCCTAGTCTTGCAATCTCTGCAAGTTTATATACTATACCTGCCATGCTTCCACAGTATAGGTCAGGCGTGTCAGCTTGATGGCCCGTGGGTGAGATGCGTTGTGTGCAAGCCACGCCCATCCCAGCTCGGCAAAGGGAAAAAATGTCCCAATACATCATGAGAGGGCAACGCGACACCATGAGTTTGACACCCGTGGTATAGGTATTGCTCAGCTAATATTGCATTCTTGAGTGTTGTTCCCAAGTGCACTGTGATTTTTCAAAATGGCAAGAAGTTTGATATGATCCCAACTTTAACAAGCTGTGTGGCCAAAAATCAAGGCTTCCCAAGTCCTTCGCTCATCAAAACCTTCATGAAGTTTCAGATTGTTCATTGAGCTCCAAACATTTATCATATAAAAATGTTAATATTTTAATAGCATTACAAATAATAGAGACAAGGCTGCTCTCTCTAGCAGTTGATTATCCCACCCTAGGTCAGAGTCTCACCGCTAGCCCCCTCACTGTCAGAATTAGGGTGAAGATCTAAAGGGACCCCAAAAGATGAATTGACCTCAATTGACTTTTTCATCACTATCATCTGGTCCTTTACTGACCCCCATTTACTGACCTCTTGAATTATCCCATTGACCCTTGTGGTCAACACTGACCTTTCTGGGGAACCTCACCATAAATGAGTGTAATCAATGATTGTTTATAGATGTCAAGATATAGTCCTTTGTTTAGCAACAACTGGAATAGGCAACTTGGGCATTAAGGGAAATGGCTGTTAAGTGAACCACAATTATGTTTATTATCTTAATTCAGTTTTCCTTTGCTTTACCTACCTGCAAAAGTTGTAAATGTGAGCATTGGTTGTAAGGTTATTTTTTCATCACCACTGTAACTGCAAGTAAGTCCCTAAACAAGGTGGTGGCTAATTTAGAACAACCTGTATCTCAATTATCTTGAACCCCACTGTGCTTTTACTGCAACCACAAATTCCTTCTGTGTAGTCAACTTTTCCTTCCTACATCTACTTTCCTACCTTATCCATCCATCCATCCCAGGCCCCAACTATTGGTTCCTGAACAAATTCTGCATTACTATAACTTGAAAAATTACTTTTACTTCATTTTTAGAATCATTTTTGCTAACATAAAAAAAGATCACTGTGGCAAATAGCCAGTAAAATTGTCAAGCCATAGGAGCAGCTATGAAAACAAACCAGCAAACCCAAATTCTGTGATTGGGATTGTTAGGAAAGGTATAAAAGACAGCATCTGGACTCTGTTTGAGAGAAGAACCTGACCCCTGGGCTACATTCACTCCTACCGAATTTGTGGAAACTGGTCAAACCAAATTACTCTGGAGAATATCGGGACTGGTGCCACCAGGAGTTAGTAATGCAACCCTGTGGTTTTGTGGGTTTTATGTTTATGTGATTGTGGTGTTAATTGCCAGGAATCCTTGCTGATTACAGCAGTAGCCAAAGCAAACTATAAACCTAACAATCCAGCTGTGCTCTTCTAAGATTTCTGGCAACAGGTTTCAACAAAGCTTGAAGCTGCCTTCTGCATTTGATTAGCTCTGGGCACACATCTAAGGCTAATAATGGCAAGTCTAGTTAGGCAGAGAAGGAACCACCATCTTGGTGGTTATCTGTTTCCCACAAAGAACTATCTTCAAAAAGCAAAGCCCCCAATGTAAAACAAATTCTTTTACTTAAAAGTAGTCTAGAGCAGCGTTTCTCAAATTTGGCAACTTGTGGACTTCCAATTTCCAGGATTCTCCAGCATGGGGAATTCTGGGAGCTGAAGTCCACACATCTTAAAAGTTGCCACGGTTGAGAAACACTTCTCTAGAGATGGATGTTTTTAAGATCAATATTTCTTCTTCGTTAGAAGAATGGGAGGAATGAAGAGAGGTTTTTTGTCTTTTTGTTAAATGAAGTCACAAGATTCTGAACTGAAGCCACTGATGTATTTAAAAAGTACACAAGGAAAGAAACGAGACAAGATCAACCGGTGCCTTTTAAAAAAACGGTTCCAGGGAAGGACAGGAAGACCGGACTTTTCAACTGGTAGGGGGTGGTGGAGGAATGCTCCCCGGTCCTTCCGTGGGGAGAGGGGGTCTCAGCATTGGGGGCATTGGAGCGGGGGGGGGGCGGCGGGGGGCGGGGGGCAACTGGGGTGGGCCTGGGGGCAATGGTCCTGTCGGGGGAGGCATGGGAGGCAGAACCATGCCCCCAGGAGGAGGAGGTGGGACAGATTCCGGGAGTGGTGGCCGGGGGGGCAGGCCATTCATGAGGGGGGGAGGAGGCCGCTTCACGGTAGCTGGAGGTGGGATACTTTGAGGAGCAGGTGGCTTCTCCATCTTGAAATGGAACTGAAGGAAGAACTAAAAGGGGGGGGAAAAACAGGAGGGGAGAGAACATTAGATTTTATTTGACTGCAAGGATCTTGTTAGATCTTCACAAAGGATTCCTCCAAACCAGGGCTTGGGAGTAAACATCCACAGAAGCTTTCTTGCGCTCTTCCGATCAGGTCAGCCTGATTTTCACAAGAGTTCCTACCTAGCTGGCTGAAAACAGTTCTGCCATCCCAACTGACTGAGTGAATCCAAGTTACGCAAAAGATATGACACAGAAATAAACACTAGTTCAGGGGTCTCCAACTGTGACAACTTTACGACTGGTGGACTTCAACTCCCAGAATTCCTCAGCCAGTGCACTCTTTTATAAATTTTGTTTTAGAGACTCTGTCTCCGAGTCCTCTCCAGCTTCCAAAGAATCTGCCTCCAAGTATTATGCTACAGGCTTCACAGGAAGGCCTCAGGCACTCAGCCTGCCACTCCAACATCCAAGACTAAAAAGACTGTAATCCAGGAAGGTGATCTTTACTTTTTCTATTCACAATGCTGATTAGGATTTTTGATCCTGGCTTACAATTCCTCTCAACAGTGCCTCTGCCAAGGTGAAAGACAGCTGGTTTTTTAAAAGGAGCTTTCAAATTATCCAGCTCCCTTTGACAAGGGCAATGGGCGGCTTTTAACCCCTTAACCCCTTACCTGTTTTGTTTCTCGATTCCAGTGAGTCCAGAATTTGCCTTCAGCTTTGTCAATCTCCCTACTGGGCACCTGCAAAAGAGGAAGGGAAGAGGTTAGGAGCAGTGCCAAGCTGAGGCATCCCAGGACATCAAAGGCTGGGTTCAGCAGCTTATGAAAGAAGCCATCCAGTTTGTTCAGAGATAATAACAGAAGGAAGGCGGGGGGACCTCTCTTTTTTTTCCTATCAAGGCCAAGATAAAAGAGTCAACGATGCTTTGATCTTTGCATCAACTGAAAGAAGAAAAATCAAGCTGAGAGAAACATCTGCTGCTTCCTAGGATTGAACTCTCCACCTTCCGAGTGGGAAGCGAGCGTTCCACCACTAGGCCACCACACTGCATTTTTGTACTGGGTAGCTCAGGTGCTGCAAACTATCAATCCTGACATCCCAAGTGCAGCATCCAATTTTTGGCTGTATCAGATATGCAGCAGCAGCAGCTGGTACTTGTCAATGGAAAGAAACGAGTAATATCTCTCATTCGATCCACCAGATAATCAGGAACTGTCTCCTTGAGAAGGGACAACCAGCCAATCAGGGAAGCTTGAGACTCAAGTTCAGCTTTCAGGATTTGATCTCACGATACCAATTGTTCAACACAAAACAGAAATTCTAGAACAATTAGATTTATTTTCACGGCAAAGTTTAATAGAAGCCCTAATCTTAGACTTCTGTTCCACATCATTCCCCTTCCTTCGAAAGCTCTCAAACCAAAGCCCTTCCCAGAAGCACTTACATTTCCACAACTAAATCTGCCCTTTTGTATGTCCCAAGAACCTCACCAAAAAAGAGGCTAGACTAGAACATTACCTTGAAAGCGATGGTCTCATAGGGCTCTGCTGCCATCAAAAGGTATTGCCAACGCCGGTCGGGAGGCTCAATTCTCTGCTCATACGCTGACATAAAACGGTGCCTCGGCATGATACTTTCAGCGATCTCTGGGTAATCGATCTGTGGGGTGCAGAGCCAGAAGAACGGGAAGTTGGAAGGACCGCTTAAATCCAACAAACCCAACTGCCTCCTCATATGGAGAACAGCCGAAGATAAAAAGAAGGGGAGGGACAGAAAGAGCAGGCCTGTTCTATGCTCAGTTTCACGAACTGATACTCAATAGTTGGGGTACCAATGGGAAAGAATATTCATAGGTCAAACCTGAATTGTGGGGTCCCTGGTGCTCAGTGAGCTTGGTTGTTCTCCTGCAGGACAGAGAAAAATACATACAGGGGAACAACCAAGCTCAGAATGCACCAGGGACTCCAAAAGTTGGGTTTTTTTTTTTTTTGACTGAGCCAATCACTTTTTGAACTTTTTTAAAAAATACATGTACATATATGTTGTGACTCCGGGATTTGAATCTGGTCTGTCAGAAGATGTGAGCTTGAGTGAAGAGGATCTGGCACTGAGATTTGAGCCTGCATTGTTGAGTGATTTTGAAGGTAGCCAGGATGAGGAAGTGGACTTAGCTATGAGAGACGAACCTAATTTATTGAAGGGGTCAGAGTCGTCCCCTGAAGATCCCTCTCTGATTACACAGCAGCCGGGAACAGATAATCAGGAAAACGTGCGAGAGGTTTCAAGTGTGGAAGAGGGCTTTGAGGGATCTTGGCTTGACGTGAGAAATAGACGGAGATTGAGACGTCAATCTCAATTGGGAAAGAAGCGTCAAACCAGTGATTAATGAGACTAACACGCCCTCTTTAGGGGATAAAAGGAAACGGATTGGCTTGAGAAATTTGCCAGAAGCAAAGTGTATTGTTGGAGCAAAAGTACTGTGAAGATTCTCTGAGGCATTGTGATTTATAGGTACTTCAAGATTGCCAAACAGATTTCAGAATTACTGCTGAGGACTGGAAAAACTTCAGCAGTTATCTTTGTTGGGGTTTGCTTTCGGTTGCTTGTATTTTTGGAACTTTAGAGTTTTGATTGCTCACCTGTGGATACAGGTGAGACATAACACATATACAGGTAGCCCTCAGCTTATGATGGCCGTAAAACAGGTCGGTCACTTGACTGGCCATATTTTACCACCTTTTCTGCAGCGGTTAGCGAGTGCTGCAGTTGTTGAACAAACAATGGTGAACCAGAAATAAATGCCAGCTTTTGGCAAAACCATCGTAAACTCAAATCATGTCATCACAGAATGCTGCAAATGGCTGTCAAATGCCTGAAGTAGCCCCAAGATAAATCTGTCGTTAACTTCAATTGGTCGCTAAGCAACTGGGTTGTAAGTTGAGGACTACTGGCATGTAATTTTTATTAAAGAAATTTTAAAAATTATATGCGTTTTACCTGGAAAAGGAGGCTCTGCTGGCCTGTTTCTGGGTCCCTCTGCTTGGTTACTGAAAGGAGGGATTAAAGAGAGACAGAGGGGTAAGTAGGGGTTCGCGACAGGATCCTTTATTTCATCAGCTTTGGGCTCCAAGAGCTCAGAATCAAATCTCCTATTGAATGTCCCATTGAAAGAACTACAAAGCAATAGCAATAGACCCCTCACAACTTCTTCCCTTAAAACGACGCTATAGAGCACTGCACACTAGAACAACTAGACACAAGGAGTTTTTTCCCAAAAGCCATCACTCTGCTAAACAAATAATTCCCTCAACCCTCTTCAACTATTACAAAGTCTGCACTACTATTACTATTAAACTTCTCATCACTCCTTATCACCCATCCCCTCCCACTTGTGACTGTATGACTGTAACTTTGTCGCTTGTATCCTTACGATTGATATTGACTGTTTCCTAGTATGATTTGATTGCTTATTTGTACCCTATGACTATCATTAAGTGTCGTACCTTATGATTCTCAGCTCTTGACGAATGGATCTTTTCTTTTATGTATTCTGAGAGTATTTGCACCAAGACAAATTCCTTGTGTGTCCAACCACACTTGGCCAATAAAGAATTCTATTCTATTCTATTCTATTCTATTCTATTCTATTCTATTCTATTCTATTCTATTCTATTCTATTCTATTCTATTCTATTCTATTCTATTCTACTCTACTCTACTCTACTCTACTCTACTCTACTCTAACACTTAGACTTACATACTGCTTCATGGTGCTTTACAGCCCTCTCTAAGCGGTTTACAAAGTCAGCACATTGCCCGCAACCATCTGGGTCCTTGTTTGATCAGAAGGATGGAACGCTGAATCAACCTTGAGCTGGTCAGGATCGAACTCCTGGAGTGAGCAGTACTGCATTCTAAGCACTGCACCACCACGGCTCTTATGAGTATGAATATGAAGCAGCCATGAAATGAAGGCTGCTTCAAGCACACAGGAAGAACAAAGCAGATGGGGGGAAAAACACCCATTTCAAATTCAACTATTTCCAAAGAAATGCTGTGGAATACTTTGCTGTTTGTTTGTCTGTCTGTCTGTCTGTCTCTCCTGTATACTACCCATCTCGCCAGAGATTAGGTAGCTTATAAACGTTGGATGATATTCAGAATAAAACATTAATAAATAAAGATTTTAACATTTAAAACTGAATCAAAATAAAACTAAGCAAGATGGAGAGGGTGGGTGTTCTCTACTGCATTAGCCACCTCCAACATGTCACATTCCCATTAGGGCCCCAGGCTAGTTGGTGCAGTCATATCTTCAAGGCCTTTCGGAACATCAAAAGGGCGGGAACAGACCTTACCTCAGGAGTGGGGTGGGGGAATGTTCCAGAGGGCATGAGCCAAGACAGAAAAGGCTCTTTTTCTGGACCCTGCCAGCCAAAATTCCTTGCCTCACAGAGCCTTCTGCAGGCACGAGTGGGGCAAGCTTATCCCATCAGGGTGAGACAATTTCTGAGGCCTTCCAGAGTCGCAGGGGCCTACCTTTGTATCCTGGCCGGCCAATTTTCACAAATTTCTTCACTTCCACCTTCACCTTTTCTGGAGCAGGCTGAGCTGGGGCCTCTTTGGCTTCTTTCGCAGCTCGTCGAGCTCTGTCAATGAAAGGAAGGGGAACGAAATTAACAAATCACTCTGAGAAAAGAGGGGGGGATTTCTTTTACAAAGGTCTTCACCATTGGGGGAACCAATAAATATTTCAGCACCTGTGCATAAGGTCTTTAAAATTATTCCTGCACAATTCATGCTGTGCTTGGGTCTCAAGCCCGGTCTGATAACAGATAATCAGAGTTTGAAGGGACCTTGTAGGTCATCTAGTCCAACCCCCCACTCAAGCGGGAGACCCTACACCATTTCTGACAAATGGCAGTCTAATCTCTTCTTGAAGGTCTCAAGTGATGGTGCTCCCACAACTTCCGAGGGCAACTTCTGTTCCATTGGTTGATTGTTCTCACTGTCAGAAAGTTTCTCTTTATTTCCAGGTTGAATCTCTCCTTGTTCAGTTTCCATCCATTGTTCCTTGTCTGGCCTACAGGCACTTTAGAAAATAGATTGATCCCCTCCTCTCTGTGGCAGCCCCTCAAATATTGGAAGACTTCTATCACGTCTCCCCTGGTCCTTCTCTCTATTAGACTAGCCAAGCCCAGTTCCTGCATCCGTTCGTTTTATGTTTTAACCTCTGGTCCCCTAATCATCCTAATTGCTCTTCTCTGCACTTTTTCTAGAGTCTCAAACATCTTGATCTAGAGAAATGGCAAAAATTGTGGTCTCAAAATAATAAAATGACAATGTCAACAGCATATAAAGAAAATTTGTATAAGATGTTTTACAGGTGGCACTTTCCCCCGACAAGAATAGCAAGAATGTTCAAGAATAAATCCGAAAAATGTTGGAAATGTCATCAGATATCTGGCTCATATTACCATATGTGGTGGACTTGTGTGGATGCTAAAAAATACTGGACTAAAATCTATACGTGGTTGAAAAAAATGACAAAAAAAGCATATAGATTTGAAACCAGAAATATTTTTATTGGGAATTTTACCTGAAATCTATAGTAAAGACTTGAAATACCTGATTGTAAATACCTGATTGTAACAGCGGCTAGGATTGTATTTGCTAAAAACTGGAAAAATGAGAAAATACCATAACAGGAGGAAATTATTAAGAAAATATTGGAATGTGCTGAAATGAGTAGATTGACATTTGAAATTGGAGAACAAGATGATAAACAATTTTATAAAATTTGGGATCTATTCTATCAATGGTTAGACAATAAAATATAGTAATGAAATATGTAGACTTTTAGAAAATAATAAATATATAAAGATGTATTCTTTTCTTATTATATCTACAAAATGATTCTAGGATAGATCTGGGATGATAATCTGAATTGTCATAAAACAAATTAAGTAAAATATGATCATTTTGGAAAACATGAATGAATAAAAGTATAGTCAAATGACTGATTAATAATGATATTAATGTATTTAATATATTGATTGAAAATACAAGATTATATACAATGTAATTATAATTGAAGACTATGAAATGGAAGCACAAAACAATTTGTAAACCAACCGGCACACTGTATGTACATAGATGGAGGATGATTTGATGTTTTTATGTTTTGTTTATATTTGTTTTAGAAACCAATAAAAAATTATTTAAAAAACCATCTTTTTTATAATGTGGTGAGCAAAACTGGATGCAGTACTCTAGGTGTGGTCTTACTAAGGCTTTATAGAGTGGTATTAGTACTTCCCTTGATCTTGATTGTATCCCTCTGTTAATACAATTTAGGATGGCATTAGCTTTTTTGGCTACTGTTGCACACTGCTGGCTCATATTTAGCTGGTTGTTCACTAAGACTCCAAGATCCCTCTCACAGTTACTGCTATTGAGCCTGGTTTCACCCAGTCTATTTGTGCACTTTTGGTTTTTCTTGCCTAAGTGTAGGACTTTACTTTTCTCTACAATGAATTTCATTTTGTTAGATACTGTCAGCTTTCCAGACGACCATCTTTAACTGCTGAGCCACTGTGCCCCCTTGAAAAAAATACTGGTCTAGTACTGTGATGGTGAACCTATGGCACGCATGTCGGAAGTGGCACACAGAGCCACTTCTGCCGGCACATGAGAAGTCACCCAGAAGAGCCCCACTGTACATGCATGCGCCCCCGCCAGCCAGCTGATTGTCCGGTATCTGATGTGCATGCGTGGTGGAGACGCCTGTGCATATGTAGAGGCACGCAGCATGGGAGGGTCGCACGCGTATATGCAGAGGTACGCGGTATGCGTGCAGGGGGTTGTGCACGCACACGCAGTGGGGCGGGAGAATCGCGCACGCGCACTGCCATTTATATCGGTCCCACTGCTTTATTAACAATACTTGGAGATGGGTGGGATTCAAATTTTTTAACAACCGGTTCTGTGGGCGTGGCTTAGTTGGTGGGCGTGGCTTGGCTGGGTGTGACCAACTCAACATCATTCACATTGAGGCACGCATCTCCTCGCCTGGCCCCTC